CATTGCGTAATTGGTTCATGAATCCACTCGAGAAAAATGATGAGTAATGCAATGTCTGTGCTGCTGAAGAAAATTCAGTAAACTGTTCAATTTGATTCCTGCCTCCTGTGCTACGTTCTGACCGACGTTCCAGGGCGAGAACTATAGCCTCCTAAGCGCCTGCGGTCCTTTCTCTTAAACAGTAACTCCCCACGAATTAATGCAGTTTCCTCATCTACAGGATCCCGTGTAAAAAGACATGCCATTTTTATCACATTTACAGAGTATGCATGATGAAAATTAAAGTGGTGCGGTGAGAAAAATAATCTTGTTTCCATTTGCATTAAGATTATTTTTCTTACCCCACTGGCAGATAATTGTTCTTGTTTCCCCCAGGAAACAAGACTAAATATTGTATTTTATTTTTTATATAGAAAATTTATCTTGATTTAAGAATTTTTAGATATTTGTACTTGAAATAAGGCAAACATCTCGGCAATAAAAGCATTTTTGCAGCATGAATGAGGTATTTAAACATCGCTTACGCTTTAAAAAGGGGGATGAGACCAAAAGAAACTCTGGGTTTACCGAAGAAAACTTTACTGAAGTCTTTTACTGGAACCGAAAACCCTGAATTTCCCTTTTCTGGGGTTAACAAACTCTGAGTTTCCAACAAAATCTTTTTCTGGAATACACCCCAGGGTTACAACATCAAAGCTAGACAAAGAAAGAACAAAGGCAACATGAGGGCTATTTTTATCAAACAATGAGGGTCACATGACAAGAACCAACCAATGAGAACATGACACATGAACCAAGGAACCAATCAGAACTAGGGTTGGGTATCGGTTCCATTTTAGAACCGGTTCCAAATTTCCAATAATCGGCTATTCGATAAGACATTTCGATTCCGCTTAACGATTCCTGCGTTCGCATTTTAATGTGATTTTAAACTATTTAAGTGCAGGAAGGGAAAGAACTTGCACACTGTTTGCGTGCAGCGCACACATCTGATGCGCGAGCACAGAGAACAGTGGTCCCGATGCAGGTTCCCGACCTGTGTCCGTTCTTGAACTGTTCCGTGCATTTCCACAAAAGTTGTTCCGGGCCAGAACTGACTTCTCTTTCACATTTATCGACCAGTATGCACGAAACACGTCGGTATATCATCATAAACACAGCCGTTTTTTTTGTCTTAAGTGAACGTAAATAGTGTGTGGCTATTAATATAGACAGTCATTTTGAGCTGTATTTATATTGGTTTGAATAAATTAATACAAGCTTTAAGCCAGGATAAAAATAAATACGTTTTCACAGCCCAATGAGAACAAATCTTATTGAGCAGTTATAGTAGATGGTTAATGCAGATTCATTCCCTTAAGCTCAGTGTGAGGTGGAGATAAATATCTGTTCAATGGTGTTAAAGATGACGTTAGAGAAGAGAACAATGGCAACTTCAGCACTGACTTCACCACTCCCATCTCCCAGAAACAAGACACACTGACCTGTAAGCTCTCCATCTTTACCTCTAGTCCCCCATGCTCGGGGTTACATAACACAAGTGAAACTGGTTGTGTGTGTGTGTGTGTGTAGCAAATGGAGAATGCTGTACATGTGGCAACCACTCAGACAAAAGAGCCCGCCAAGGATAAGAGTAAAACCCGTCATCCTCTAACATCTAAGAACTAAATCAACATCAGAGGTCAACAGACTGAAATATTACGAAAATTGTTGAGTTTGAACTAAAGAACTAAAAATTCAGAAGAAGCAGCAGATTTTATACATGCATATTACTGTAAAAGTTCAAGCTCACTTTCCTAAAACTTCAAATATTGTGAGGCAGTTCTAGAACAAAAACTTCACTGTGACGAGTGGGGGTGGGGCCGAGAGCCGTGGGAACGGAGCGAGGCCGGTGGAGTAATTGATAATGAGCAACACCTGCACCACTCACCGGTCTCGAGTCTCATGGAGGAGCTCCGGAAGGATAAAAGGGAGGAGTGACGACAGTGAAAGACGAGAGAGGACCAGGCCTGGAGTTTATTTTGTGTGTTGGTTTTGTTTGTGTGCGACAGTCGTCCACGAGGGGCTGTCGCGCTGAGGGGGATCGCGGTGCTGAGGAGATCGGGCAGCAGGAGCAAGCGGAGAGACCACCGGTGGCTGCCCGAGGCGGTGGTGCTGGAACTATGGAAGACGAGGTGGGACGGAGAGCTCGCTGCCGTGCTCCTTGGTCGCGGAGGGGAGTGGAGGAGTCGGCCCCGTTCGCCAGGAGGCTGGAGCCTGCTGCCATCCGCCATGATTGGGGAGGAGCAGGGAACGGGGGACTCGCTGCCGGCTGCCCTCAACAGGAGGAGCCATCGCCGTCCGCCAGGAGGCGGAGGAGCGGTGGGCCGTCCACCAAAGATGTCCAGTACCATCGCATGGCACCGCGAGTGAGAGCCTCTCCGCCGGTTGAGGACCAAGCAGCAGCGTGTCCGGGAACCGGACCGATAATTTATTTTTTCTTTTCCTCTCTCCCCTCTCTCGTATCTGTCTCTCCTCATCCTTCCGTCTCCTTTTCTCTCGCCTCATCTGCCTGTCCTTACCACCAGGTTCGCTGCGACCGCCGTGATCGGCTCCCCCAGAGGGGGGGGGAGTCTCCGGAAGGATAAAAGGGAGGAGTGACGACAGTGAAAGACGAGAGAGAACCAGGCCTGGAGTTTATTTTTTTGTGTTGGTTTTGTTTGTGCGCGACAGTCGTCCGCGAGGGGCTGTCGTGCTATTTTGTGTTGGTTTATTTTATTAAAGTTTGTTTAAATGTCCGCCGGTTCCTGCCTCCTTCCCGAACTATGAACTTTGCTACATTCACCATATCAGCCACAAGCCCCAACTGATCACATATTATCATCTGATCAATGTCAAAAGCTAGTTCACAACCTTCATTTCTGTCCTTGTTAGCCAAGCTAATAGGATTGGCTGATTCACACAGGAAGATCAGCAAAGCCCTCCCCAATCCTAAAATAAGACTTTTGAGGTGGACAAGGAGGAATTAGAGAGGATAGAGCGACCAAAAGAGGAAGCAGGGCATTCTGCTTCAGTCTCTGTACCTGTCTCTATCCACTTGTCCATCCCGAGGTAGGTCAGTCAGACCTAGAAGAGGAATCAACACTTTTGCGACCCTCCTCCTGCCACGTGATCCAAAGTACAGGGCTACCTGTATCCATTTCTCTCTCTGCAAAGCACAGGGTAAGCCGGCAAAATTTCTTACCTTGAGGACCTTGACAGGGAAGCGTCAGACGACGAGATGGGTAGTGGAGCGAGCGCAGAAGATAAGGAAATGGCCAAGAAGTCCAAAGAGCTGGAAAAACAGCTCCAGGAAGATGCTGATAAAGAAGCAAAAACTGTCAAACTTCTGCTGCTGGGTAAGAAATTGGTGTTTGTTTGATTCCTCTAGTCCACTGGTGTTGAGGTACAAGATTCTGCCTCCAGAATGAGCTACTGATGCAGAACCTTCACATGCTTTATGTACATTTGTGCCTGCAGCAGGTGGTCACTACTACTAAGTTGGAAGATAGTAAAATGCAGGTGAGAACATTGCTGCAGATCTTAGCATCTTAGCAGAACTTCAATCGTTTCTAAACATAAGATATATGCATCCTTTATGATTAAAACTAGTTAACTAGTACCGTACAGAATAAAGTGACTTCATAACAGGCAACACTATGAGAAATGTGTTCATCTGTTTTTTTTCCCAGAAATGAAGTGTTATAGATGCACTGAGGCGGAGCATTAAGACATTCTGCACTCTCAGAAATAAAGGTACAACAGCTGTCACTGGGGCGGTACCTTTTCAAAAGGTACACTTTTGTACCTATTAGGTTATAATATGTACACTTTAATTACCAATATGTACCTTTAAGGTACCAAAATGGACCCTTTAGGTACAAATATGTACCTTTTGAAAAAGTACCGCCCCAGTGACAGCTGTTGTACCTTTAGTTCTGAGAGTGTGTAAGCAGACAAATCTGCGGGTTATGTAATTATATTATGAGATATATAATGACACAATTGTAATCAGTTGTCATGTTTGACTTCATAATGCTGTAGCATTAAAATACAATAATAGAGATTACATTTTTTTTTACAAATGATTATGCCATTTTGCACCATATAATACCTATTTGATGACATTTACAACACCATCAAGTGCTAAGGGATTGTTGATAATTTTGCATGTGAATTAGGTGATGATAGGTGATGCACATCAGCTCTTTTTCTGTTAATCATTTTTAGCATAAATGATCTTTGTCTAATTAATTCAAATTTAAAAGTTTAATTTAAATTAGCTTTTAAAAATGTTTGATTTCAACTTTACTTCAGCAACACACCCACATTTTCACTGCAAATGAAGTCGCCTTAAATGATCACAACCTGAGGAACACTGTGAATTGTGGCATATTGACAATAAGACCAGAATCCTATTACTGTGATGATTTAAGCCCCGATCCTCTTAAGCTCAGTTTCAGTTTATCTTCCAATAGCAACAGAAAGCAAAGGAGCCAGTTTCAGTGCTCCCAACAGTTCATTACATCAAGACACCTTACATCAGTGAGCCATTTCAGCAAATCACTGTGAGACAGATGCATTGATTAAGTACTGCCCTGATTTCTTGTAGCTCGACAAGTCACTTCCTGTCTGAACAGGAAGTTCATATTCTCAGATAATAACAACAACATTAAAATACTAAATTATAAGAATTTAAAATATAAAAGTACAACTAATTATAGATACATACTATTCCCGTTTGTCTGTAGTAAATTTTGGAAATGCGTTTTGAAGACTTTCTCAATAAATTAGCAAATCACTTCAGATGTTTCTTGCACAATAAAAGCTGTGTGTGGGTGTGGTCATTATCCTACTGATATGTGTTCATACCTGAGAGTTAGAAAGCAAAATTATTTTATTTTCAAATAATTTAATCTGTTGCTAAACTAAGCAGTTGAAAGGACCAACAGGGATGACACATGCTCTCTTAACACATCTCCACAGCTACAGTTACCTCAGGAAGTAAAAGGCACATAAGAGTGATAGTTGCCACGGGAGACGGTTGAGCCTTACCTTGCCCTGGACTGACTGAAGCTCCAAGACAAATCAAAGTGTCAGTGATCTTCTGAGAGGCTTTCCCTAACACAAATCCAATTGGGTCACTTTATAAGCATGTTAAAGAGCCTTCCTCCGACCTGGCCATCAATGACAATCTATAAGTTTATTCTTAACAGATCATCTATCGCTTCCCTTACGAAAAATAACTTTATTCAAGTGTGCTATTAGTATACTTCTTTTAAACTAAAAAATAGGAAAGTATACTTTTAGTCTACTTTTTCTGTACTTCTCAGAAATGGGCTTTATGTTCTTCTCAGAAATATACTTAAAATTACATTTAAGTATACTTGACTTATACTTGAAAAAGTCTAAATATATTTGAGCTACTGTATAATTGTGCCCCTAGAATCCATGTTTTCATTGTTATACGGTAGGGGGCGCTAGTACACATCTTCTGTACAGAATTTCCAAAAACCACAAGTGAAGAAGAAACCGAAACAACAGATGCTTCCACATGTAATCTAACACGATCATCAGACATAAAACAGCATCAAAACTGTGTAACGTAATGGAATAAAATGTTGACCAATGAAGAGGTACTAATGACTGTCAAGCTTTGGGGTGTTGATCGACTCTATCTACGTTTTGATTATCATTCTGAATCCAATTCATAGTCTTTTTTTCCAGCTTTTTGTTCAAAATGTTGTTTATTTCTTTATTTTTTATGAACCTTACCACATTCAAGTGTTTAAAAAAGAATGCATGAAGCTAGAATAAAATGTTTTTGTTTACAAGCAGATACCCTGTTCTTTCTTTTGATATTTTGTATGTTCAGATATTCATATAACAAAATATATACAAATCAATACCTACATAGGGACATAGTAGTATACTTAAAGTATGATGTAAAGTTCACTTAAAGAAAACGTACGAGTATACTTGCATATAAAACTACTAAACTAGTAGTTTACGGAGACTATACTTCAAAGTACTAAAATGCTACTATAATTATTTAATTAGAAAACTATCAGTATACCTATAAGTTCACTTTTAGTATAGTTGCAGTACAAGCTAAAAATATTGATGTAAACTAGTTGTGTACTCAAAGTTTATTACTTTTATACTTAAAAGTATACTTTTATATACTAGAATGTGGGCCAATTTAGTCCCAAGGAGTATTGAAATAGTACACTTACAAGTATACTACTAGTACACTGATATTTGTATACTTACTACATAAAGTATACTTTAAAATATACTTGAACTTTACTTAAGTATACGTAATAAAATAAACTTGAAGTATACTTCTTTTTGGTAAGGGTTAACATGGACCTCGTTATTAAAATAAAAATCCACAGAGCAGAAAATAAACAATTCAAATAAATAAATTCAAAACAAATAATTCCGGGAAAAGGCACTATAACGTGTAAGACCTACAGTAACCATAATGTACACTGTAAAAATTATTCTAAGATTACATGGAGTATCTTTTACGGAAAAATACTATTTCAGTCTTTCTGCTTCAAAATTTCACATTTAATTCAGTGTGTCACTTGCGGTGTCTTTGTAATTATGTGTGAAACTGTCTAGCAATTTAAAAGGTAAACGTCATATAGAGACATATAATTTAGCCGGCAAATTGTCTGGAGTTCAGTTTAAAAGCATTTGAGGGCTCCTCGTTTGTTCTTATGTTGCTCATACATTGTTCTGCATCATATTTTTCTCTTTCTGTCTTGTAGGTGCTGGCGAGTCAGGGAAGAGCACCATTGTAAAACAGATGAAGTGAGTTCAAATTCATGCAACATACAAAATATATGCTCAGAACAGTCAGTTTGTATCGTTACGGGTTGTGGAATCACATAATTCAGGATATATATATATATATATATATATATATATATTCTTAAACCTGAAGATAAATTTAAATATCATCCATGCATTCTAGTTGAATTTTTCCTTATCAATTGGTGTGCATTTGGGAAATGTCAGTACTTGCATTCTGTTCTACCCCTTGTAATGCTAATGTGTGACCACCAGATGGTAGTGAATGTGAACCAGATGGTACTGTACTCACCTTCAAAACGTTAATCAAAAACACTCTGTTGCTCCCCCAAGAATTCTCCATCAAGGTGGTTATACAAAAGAAGAACAAATAGAGTTTCGATCTATTATTTTTGGCAACATCCTGCAATCTGCTATGGCCATCATCAGAGGCATGGAGATGCTGGACATCAACTTTGGGTCACCAGCAGCACAGGTCTGCAAAACAACTCCAAAACAAATGATTAGTGTGTAGACATTCACATACCATCAAAATGCACACGCTGAAACACAACAACATACACAATTTTGGCATGAAAGGAAATTTCCCCATTTTATATAACATTTAAAAAAAATGAAACATTATGCGTGGATAAATTGTTCACAATAGACTCTTAGGAAAAAAGGTACAAAAGTTGCCACTGGGGCACTAACAAAAGGTATACTTTATACCTTATTCACCCCTAAACGGTGTATATCAGTACCTTCTCTCTGCTAGAACCAAGAACACAGAACCAAGTCCCCGCCCCACAGTTTTTTTTTTCAATAATCCGTTACACTTGGATTTACCAAGTCCATGTCACAATACAGGAGAAAAGATATGTTGCTACTTCCCTTTTATCACAAATCTTTAAATAATAGAAAGAATTAACGACTAACTGCATGGAGGCTAACAGTGCCCAATTTCTTTGTCTCATGCAGGAGGACGGTCAGAAGCTCCAGAACCTGGCTGACTCCATTGAGGAGGGCACCATGCCTCCAGAGCTGGCAGACGTCATCAAGAGGCTATGGAAGGATTCAGGTGTGCAGGCCTCATATGAGAGAGCTGCTGAGTACCAGCTGAATGACTCTGCTGGATAGTGAGTACAACACTCAACAGGGACAGCAATACCTATGGAGTTCATTGGAGCCTGAGGGTGTGGCTGCATTGTCCATAATTCACTTCGTATTGTGGGAATGCAGTACACCAAGGTTCGAAACTCAGCTCATGGTGGGCCACAGTCCTGCAGAGTTTAGTTCCAACCCTGGCCGTAGTTTTCAAATAATCCTGAAGGACTTGGTTAGCTGGATCAGGTGCGTTTAAATAAGGTTGAAGCTAAACTCTGCAGGGCTGTGAGTTTGGCACCCATTACGTACACAGTCGCTATGCTTTGGAGATTTCCAGGACTTTAGCAGATGAACATTTCAGGTGTGTATGCAAATGTATGGCTAATTTATAGCTAATCTCAAACAGCTACTTGAGTGAAATGGACAGAATCTGCAAACCTGACTACATCCCCACCGAGCAGGATGTGCTGAGATCTCGAGTCAAGACTACTGGTATTATTGAGGAACAGTTCTCCTGCAAAGAGCTCTACTTCAGGTGTGTCTTAACTGGCTAATGTGATCGAATCAACTGTTGTGCATACTCTGTTAAAATCGAGAGCCACAAAAATGGCTACTGTAAAGAAATGCAAGACCTAAAATGTGTGACTGTTCATGTGAGAGGGACATGTTAGGTTGATTTCAACTGATCTTGTGTAACTAGAACAAAAAGAACCAGCATTTTGAATGAAACCTTTTCATGATTTTTCACTGGGCCGCAGGATGTTTGATGTGGGTGGCCAGAGGTCTGAGAGGAAGAAGTGGATTCATTGTTTCGAAGGTGTGACTTGCATTATCTTCTGTGGAGCCCTGAGCGCTTACGACATGGTGCTGGTAGAAGATGATGAAGTGGTAAGTGCTGATCTTTAGACACCACTAAAAAAATAAAGGTTCTTTATTGCCATCTATGGTTCCATAAAGAACCTTTAACATCCATGGAATCTTTCCATTGAACAAAAGCTTCTTTATTGTGGAATAAGGTACTTTAGCTTTTTTAAATATTCTTCACACTAAGAAAAAATGGTTCTTTTAAAAATTGTTTACTGAAAGATTTTTCTACGGCATCACTGTGCAAACCCCTTTTTGGAAACTTTATTTTGAAGAGTGAAGAACAGTCCTTACACATCCTTTATTCACCAAAGACCACAAGAATATGGTCAAATGGATTAGATAACAATGTTTGAAGTTCTAGCAGTGCATCTCAGCTTATATTTTCTTCTTGTTTCTCATGTTTCTCCCAGAACCGCATGCATGAGAGTCTCCATCTCTTCAACAGTATCTGCAACCACAGGTTCTTCGCCACAACTTCCATTGTGCTTTTCCTCAACAAGAAAGATCTCTTCCAGGAGAAGATCAAGAAAGTCCACCTGAGCATCTGTTTCCCTGACTATGATGGTGAGTGAGGTCTCTATGTAAATAAACACACCATCTTATAACAGTAATTTACCCAAAAATGAATGATCATCTCACCCTCATTCCGTTCCAAACCTATATGACTTTATTCTGTAGAACATAATATGTGAATTTTTTTTAAAGAAAACATCCTGGTCACTCTTGTAAACATACTGAAGATTAATGAGGACTGGAGTTGTTAAGATACAGAATGACAAAAAAAAGCTCCATAAAAATATCATATAAGAGGTTCATATGACTCTTTCGAAGCCACATGATAGCTTTGTGCAGTACAGACTGAAATTTAAGTTAATAATCTTGATTTGCCCTAGCTCTAGCTCTCCTTGGCACATTTATGAGAGACAATGTCTGATTCGCAAATGAATCATTCTTTTGAGCCAGATCTTTTAAATGAACTCCGTGAACTATTGGACTCAAACTAATCACAATGGTTAACAGCTCACTGGAAGTGAGGACACTATTAGTGAATAATGACTTCAGTGAATTCAGTCTGTTTCTGATATGGCTTCTTATGGCTGGTATGGACATTTTATGATGCTTTTGCATTGTTTTTTAAGCTTCTTTCGTTCACATCATTATGCTGAAGAAAAATGTACAGTTTCTCATATTCCTCATATTTCAAATACACAACAGTCTTAACAACCTTAATTGAATTTGCTCACCAAATATGACGTTGAAAATCCCAATTTTCCAGGTCCAAACACATATGAAGATGCCAGCAACTATATCAAGGCTCAATTTCAAGATCTGAACATGAAGAAGGGAGTGAAGGAGATTTATGCACACCTGACCTGTGCCACGGACACAAAGAACGTCGAGATTGTGTTTAACGCTGTGACAGACATTATCATCAAAGAAAACCTTAAGGACTGCGGTCTGTTCTAAACACTATCTTTTTCAAAGGTATGTCCCTAAAAACACAAAGCGGTTCTTACTCCCTGTCTACACCGGACACAACCGTAAATAACTCCCATCGCCTTCAGTTGATGGACGCCCCCGTTTCTACTTCTATTTTTACTATCTATACTTCTAACATCAACATGGTCCGTGGTAGTAAACATGCTTAGATGGCATAACACTCCCACGCTTCCAGTGTAGATGGTATTATAACTTTAGAAAGTTCTATTAAATCATTTCAATGAGATTTTTTTTCCTTTGAATTTAAGAATTAACTTTTTTTTTCTCCAGATCTTTCTGCACCATCCCCACCTGCATGATTGGAATTACTCTGGTGAAGTTGTCACAGTAACAAAAGAACATCCACAGGTGGCATGACGGTGAACTCTACAGCAAGCAGTCAAGTGTGGTCAGCAGATCCCCAGCCAAAGAACAACCTCAACAACCTAACCAAACCTCAGATACTAGATCCAGATTAGACTAATGGCCTCTGCTCTCCAAAGGGACTCTAAAAACATTTCCTGTCAAACCGCTAGTAGTCAATGAGAGAAGGATTACCAAAGAAAGGGGACTTTTGATGCCGAGTTATTGATGCTTGTAGAGAAGCTTCCTCTCAATGTGTTTTAATGTTAAACCTATAGAGGTTTGACTGTTCGCTGTTTTTTCCATTCATTTCCAAAAAAAAAGAAAACTAAATTGAATGCAATTGAATGTTGCTGTATTAAAAGAAATTGTAATGCAAAAAGTGGGACCCCATCAGATTTCATGGTAACAATTAAAGACATTCTTAAATGTACAGCATCTGGTCTCCTTTAAGAGAGTTAAAATTTGCATATCAGCAGGACGTGCTTGTTTGAATTAAACCAGCTCACACAATATATGAAAGATGTTTATTTTCAGCCCCAAACACAGTTGGGCAGTATGTTTTGTAAATAAGAGTAGGGGGGAAAATCTGTTTCAAAAAATATTCTATATAAAATATATATGGAGACATAAATCTATATATTTGTGATACAGTATTGCAGTAACAAGTGAAAATTCTAGAATGGCCTGTTGCTTTGTTTAAAACCTGAGGTCTGAATTTGTGGAGATGTTCTGGAATGTAAATGTAGGCACATGAAATAAAGACTTGCATCAATTCCACTGGTTGCTGGTGTTGAATTACTATTATGTGCTGCAAATGGCTGGCCATTAGCTCTACTGTAATTGCGCACTTTCACAAAACACTGACCTTACATTGTTTTAATTGGGATTTTCAAACACTGACCATTTGTGTCAGAGGTAATTTTGAATGAACCACAGTACAAAACACTTTTTGCTAAGGGTATTATATAATAAAAAAAGAGGTGTCTTTATGACAGCTAAAATGAGTAGTAAAGATATCTAACAATCGTGAGACTACACAAATATACAACATTCAGAGCCACGGGCACAATCAGAGAAACAACGGGAATAGTTGGAAATAAAAGAGCCAAAGATGGCAATTGCACATTTGAGGTATTAGACCAGATACACGGTGTCATTAAAACAAGACAAATAAAATATGTTTAGGTATGATTCTTAGTAAATATTTGTCTTCACCGTTTGAACATCGAAGACTAAAATTAAAAGATAATCTTGAATCCATTTAAAAATAAAAGTTTATTATTTTCAACTCGTGTCTTGTAGTTAATTTCTGATCATGATAATGTATATACTATACTTTTCCTTAAACAAAGGTCATTTGATTATATATGTATTTTCTCAAAACTGCAGCAACTGGTGACATTGTACTAGTGACGTGTACTATGGACAGTTCCACATGATCAGAAAAGACAAAAACAAAACAAAACAGGTTTTAAATAATACTCAACAGAAGGGTGTTCAGAAAACTAAACAAACCAAGTTATTAGCATATTAGTGTTTCAGTGCCATCATTAATTAATGTTAGTTGTTTGCTTGCATTTTGAGTTTCAAATAGCTGAAATAGTTCAATAAAATAAAGCACAGTGATACAGAAAAGAAATCACAGATTGTTGCATGAATCCAGACTGAGAACATGAATGTACCAGCACTGGAATACCATACTTTTTACATAATATATGGATCATGTCTGTCTTGCACATGCTGGCTGTTTGGCATGTTCTGGGAGCAAGATATTATGGACATCGAACTTGATGTCAACTCTTTTCAGATTAAATACAGGTATTACAAACCAGATCACATTGTGTCAGTTTGTTTTAAAATACTGAAATCCACAGGATTAAACAGAATCACATCAAACAAGTCTTAGAAAAATCTATACTTATCAAGAATGCAAATCTGGCAATCATGTTCATGTTTTCATGGCATTTGTTCCCAAGTGCTCTTGACCCAACAGAGGGTCATTATTTCTGCACCATTCAGGAATGTATCTGTGAGAAAAACATTTGTTCACACTCCTCAAGAGATACAAAAATAGTGTGTTATGCAAAGTGTTATATAAAATGATCCATGTCTTATTAGTGAAAAAACAAATGGTGTCTTGATACTGTGTGATTGGGCTGTGAATTACTAAAGGTATGACAATTATATAACACAATATACATCTGATATGTATACAATTATATGCAAACTTAAAGACAGACCTAAAAAAATTATAAATTAGCTAAGTAATTACTATGAAAAACATGGCAAAATAGTAACTTTCCCATAAGAACTGATACATTGTTATTAAAATGACTCTTACTAAAATTAAATCTTACTGTTTGCACTTTGCAGTGTTGAAAAAAACAAAGATCTTTGATGCAGTGGAGGTTAGCATAGGCACATATTACCATCCATTGTGGATTATGATCTATGCATAGTGGTGTGTCATGTAATACCTACAACGGAAACAGGAAATGAGCAGAATGAAGCTGTATTGGCAATAAAATAATGACTAAAAGGAAGTGGCAAAGAAATAATGTCCATAACAGACTGTCATTAAGAACGGATGGGGAAAAATTGTCCATGGGCATAGGTACCGCATTTAGCGTGAAGAATGCATCCAGTGGGGAGGAAGTCTCTCGTTCCAGATTTTCAGCACTGGTCTGTGCTTTTTTTATCCGTATGGTTCTATGTTCTAAATGTAGAAAAAAAACAAGTGCAAAAATTAATGAATCATGATTTCAGTGTGAAAACATCTGCAGATAAATATGCACACTGTGGAAAAAGCTCTCACCTTCTGTCCTGTAAGCCCTTTTCTCTTTCGCTGCACTTACCTTAGCAGACAGATGATGCTTCAATAGAGGCCACACTCTATGAGGTTATTCTTGATGATGACATCAGTGACCGCATCAAACACAAACTGTACGTTCTTGGTGTCTGTGGCACAAGTGAAGTGTGTGTAGATCTCCTTTGTGTCCTTTCTTCTGTTCAGATCCTCAAACTGGCACTGGATGTAGGCCGCTGCCTCCTCGTATGTGCTTGTTCCTGAACGTCATATGACAGAGAAGAGTTTAAGATTTGTGTGAATTTTATTACCGTGCAAACGTTTGGGGTAAGAATTATTTTATTTGATTTATTTATTGAAAGAATTATTACTTTTATTCAGCAAGGATTACATTTTTCAAAATTGAGATTGAAAACAATACTAATTTTGACAAATGAAATGAGGCAAAAGTTTCTGCTAATGGTCCAGCCCATTGGCAAAATAAACGGTGCCACTTTTCATACATGACTGATTTCAATTAAATACGCTCAGGACAAACCAACTTCTGTAAAAGTACAAGGGCTGTGAAGTAACGAATTACAAATACTCTAATGTTACTGTAATTAAGTCGTTTTTATCAGAAATGGCACTTTTTTGAGAAGTTTAAAAATAGCATACTTTTACTTGAGTAACGTTACATTTTAAGTGATGCATCTGTACTTTTACTCCGCTATTTTCCCTCTATTTGTGGTCGTTACATGCTTGTTTTAATTTTATTTTTATAAATCAACGTGATTGGATAGGGAGACGGCAATCGGTTTCGTAACTCTCGTCAAATAAAATTGTGCATAGAAAACTTTTACCAACTGGTGATAATCATGGCTGATGGAAGAGTATTCTTCAAGCATCAATTCAGTCGAGTTATCAGCATCTTCCTCTAATATGTTAAGGTAAACTTCGGATTTCTGCTTACTAAATTATCTGTATATGCTAGCCTATATACAGGGCCTGAAATTGGGTGTGAGGTTGCGGGTATTGCGTACAATGTTAATAAATGTTAATAAAGTGTCACGTTCATAATGTGGTAAATTCCACTCCCGTTCAGTATAGAGAGACGCGCGATCTGCACTGCCGCGTCTCTCCCTCGCGTGCGTCCTGCAGCAGTCACTTGGAGAAGTCTGCAGCTTGTTGACTCCTGATGAGTTTGAGTGCATGATGAGCGCTGTGAAAAAGTGTGTTGGGGACATTCTAAAATGCTTGGAAAAACAGCTTACCATGGCTTAATGTACTGAAATTGGAGGACCAGATTCAGTATGCACCTTATTGATGAACTGTAGCATTATTATTCTGCATCTCTGTCAGCACGTGATGTAATAAAATTGGTGCTCGTTAATAAACAAGGTTTTTTGTTTGATCCATTTTATACCTTCATTTAGCAAGTGCACTCGTACAAAAACATTTTTCAAGTTCAACACTTTTTGTTCCATTCAGTAGATGCTGCTGATAGAGCAGATATTCGCCCAGACTGCCACGGCCCTGCAAAGAGATGTGCGTGTGTGTGTGTTTTCTTTTGAAAAAGTTTTCCCAGAAATACTTCCCTATTTAATGCAATTTTTTCATTATCAGCATAACAATTTGAGTAAATGTAGCTGTGTAAAATGTGGGGGATGATGCCCCCTTCTAGAACAATGCGTCTTTATGTTTAAATTGTAACATAAATTATCATGTTTATGATTCTCATTTCTTTATCACAAAATGCTAAAACTGGCCCCATTTTGGAGAGAAATTGGCTCTTTTTAATCTCTCTTTATAACCCATCTCATGGTGTGTAATGATGAACTCTTGTATGAGTTTCTAATGGTTTTGTATTCGTTGCATTGTTCTAAGCATTAATATTTTATGTGCAACAATAGCATGCTCTGGCTCAGTGGCCTTACACCTGATTTTAAATCTATTTTTTTCAAACATTATGATTTAAATGGTGATGAGTTTAATAGTTCTTCAGTGGTGTTTTGATATATTTTAAAGAGTTGGCAGTCAAAATTAAAACTGCTGGATGATAGATATTATTCATTCTTTCTGACAAACAACAAAAGATAATGTGAATTACAGTATGTAAAATGTTTTCTAAATGTTTAAATTGCAGTGTACAGCGTTTATTATAAGGGGGTAAAATCCACAGCTCAGTACTCACTACTCATGAGAACTTTTAAATAAGCTACTCTTTTACTCTTACTCAAGTAGTTTTTTGGACAAGTACATTTTTCGGAATGCAATTGTACTTTTACTTGAGTATATTATTTCAGTTCTCTTTCCACCACTGAAATGTACCGTTTCTAAAATATAAAGACTGAGAGAAACACTAAAACATCTCAAAACCGGCAAGACTTAACTTTCACCCGGCCCTGAAGGATGATGACTAGCAGACACAAAACAGAGGTTTTCCACAGTGCTTAGACAACGAAAAGCTCCCCTCCTCTGATAGGGCTGTTCAAACCCAACCTCACATAGTCCCTACTTCAGTTTTATAACTTTTTATAAACAAGCAATAATTCATCCACTCTGCTTTTTGCCCCAAAGGCCCTACCAATATAATGATGCTTGAGTAAAAATATGACTTACTGATTATCTGCAGAGCCATCTAATTTTAGACATGATTCAAATAGTTAATGTTTTCCAGGACTGAACCAAGTTATCAGGAGTAATACAAGTATTGTTGAATATACTGTCCCGAAACAATCACTTTCCTGAGTGGCATCGTCAATCACTACTGTACATATAAACTCAACACTGAGTTTAAATGCAAGTTACTAATGTATGTGTGTTAATTTATGTTATTTAAACCACTAAATAACCTTTCAATCATAAGGACAATAATTCAATATTTAATATATTCTCACCAGAGTATTCTGGGTAGCATATCGTGAGTGGACTTCTCTTGATCTTCTCCTCGAACAGATCCTTCTTATTGAGGAAGAGAATGATGGATGTGTCTGTGAACCATTTGTTGTTGCAGATGCTGTCAAAAAGCTTCATGCTCTCATGCATACGGTTCTGTGGACACATCGAGATCCCCATATGACTCAGATTCACATTTGTTTAGACACTGCTTGGTTTAACAAGTGAGAGCAGCTGAGATTTTCAAAAAGTACATTTGAAAAAATAAACGCAATGGAATCAAGGGTTAATTCATTCTATAACACTGTGAATATTGACTCCACTGAAAATCAATAAGCAACCTCAAATCATCCTTGTATGGAAAAATAGTCAGTGTATTTTAAGAAATTAGGTCTCATGAGGAAACTATGCAGCCTTTCCAGGAGCTATGTGGAAATTGCTTTAACACAACCAGGACAAATGGAACATCCCGCGTGGTGGCCATGAAGAAATAAAAAAATATACTGAGATCTGGAAGTAGCTTTTCTTGCTGATTATAATATTTTACTATATTTTCATTAATCCATCATATCAAATGAATTGGCCCTGTGATCTTGTTAACAGACTAGTGTACCATTCTGATTTATCTCTATAGGCCTCACTTCAGGATGGTGAAGGAAACTCACCATCTCTTCGTCTTCAGCTAGCACCAGGTCATAGTCGCTGAGTGCCACACAGAAGATAATAGCAGTGACGCCTTCAAAACAATGAATCCATTTCTTCCGCTCTGAACGCTGGCCACCAACATCAAACATCCTGTTTGGACACAAGTAATATACAGTGATCAGGACATGAGGAAGAAAGGAGAGGAGAGGAGAGGAGAGGAGAGGAGAGGAGAGCACTTACTTGAAGTAGAGCTCTTTGAAGGTGAAGTGTGTTTCTACAATGCCAGTGGTCTTGACTCGAGTCCTCAGCACATCTTGTTGAGTGGGCATGTAGGTGGGCTGGGATATCCTATCCAGATCATTCAGATAGCTGGACAAGAGACAAAACATTGTGAGCATTTTGAGTGAAACCCATTTAAAAAACAACAATGAAAATGTCAAGATGATTTAATGAGTAAATTTTAAAATCACCAAAATCAAAACCTGTTTATTTTCTTTATTTTATGTAGGGTCTATTACGTAAACGGTCTCAGTAGTTGGAACACATTTAAAAGGCTGCACCTGTTCTGAGATCTACATGCATATGAATATCAGCTGCTAATACTTTTTATTATATTTTATTTTAATATACGTGTTTTATTGTATATGTTTAAAAGGTGTTTTGTAATTTTGGTTGTGCAAAGCACCTTTGTCATCCTGTGTCATTTTTAAATGCGCTATAGAAATAAATATTGATTGACTGACTGATTGGTGGGGAAGAGGTGCAAAAAAATGAGAATCACCGCAATACAGGGCTGATGTTACTAGAGCACTGCTGTTGCTAAAATAAAGATGTATCCATCAGAACAACCCACCCCTCTGATTTTGCAATAACACAGGAGCACAAAGCTTCTCTCTCACTAGAAGATTTGGCTCTATAGTTTCACTGCATGAAAGCATGAGTTCACTGAGAGGAAAGAGCTTTGCTCTTGATTATTACTGGAAACATTCTTAGTGGCTGCCAAAGCTGAAAACAGAGTGAAAGAATGACTGCAACATGGAAAAATCTAAGGAAATCAAGTTGTGCAATGCAATTCAGAAAGCCACAAATTTCCCCCCTCAATGAGCTGGAATCTACCAGGTATAAAATGCTAAACAAGTTTGCACAAGCTAGATGGATCTCGATTAGCTGTACAACTGTGCCTCTACCTGAATCTTTCCCATTCAGGAAACCAAAAACGAATTACTTGTTAATCAATCAATTCAAACAAAAGCATGATTCTGTGGAGACAAATTATGGTTCAACAAAACAAATGTACTGCAAGTAAAAATAATATTTGCTAAAGTTATAAGCCAAAATAAACATTTGCATATTTTGTTTGAATAACTGTTTACTTTAATCCAGTTTGTCTAAACATTGTACCGAAAAAGTATTTGGACTCTTAAAGGGGTCATATGATGCAATTTCAATTTTTCCTTTCTCTTTGGAGTGTTACAAGCTCTTGGTGCATAAAGAAGATTTGTAAAGCTGCAAAGACTAAAGTCTCAAATCCAGAGATATTCTTTATAAAAGTTCAGTCAGCCACACCTACCTAAAACGGCTCGTTCTAACACGCCCCCACATATCTACCTCACTATGTGGGAAGGTTTGCATAACGCCGCCCAAATGTTCACGCAAAGAAGGCATAACTTTTATTCTCGCTGTAGTATTGTTGACGCTGCAGCCATGTCGTGAAGACACTGTGTGCTTCGTTGTGAAAGCGAAACTACTTTGTTTGGTCTTCCAAAAGAGGGCGATATCCACTTCGTCATGCCTAGAGTTGATCTGTGCTGGTCGCTGAGGGAATACATCAACTTTCACCATGGACAAAGCGGAGTCCAGCCCGGGGTCCGTCACATGTGGTTGCCGCTCATTCGCCGCATCCGCCAGGCGTGCTGTTCTCGACCCCGCCGCCTCAGCTCACGCTAAGCCTGGGCTTTCTGCTCACGCTAGCCCGGCCTCAACGCACGCTAAGCCAGGGCTTCCCCTCACACTAGGCTGCTGTGTTGTTCATTGTGAAAGTGAAACTACTTTGTTTGGTCTTCCAAAAGAGGGCGATATCAACTTCGTCATGCCTAGAGTTGATCTGTGCTGGTCGCTGAGGGAATACATCAACTTTCACCGTGGACAAAGCGGAGTCCAGCCCGGGGCCCGTCACATGTGGTTGCCGCTCATTCGCCGCATCCGCCAGGCGTGCTGTGCTCGACCCCGCCGCCTCAGCTCACGCTAAGCCTGGGCTTTCTGCTCACGCTAGCCCGGCCGCAGCGCACGCTAAGCCGGGGCTTCAGCTCACGCTAGCCCGGCCTCAACGCACGCTAAGCCAGGGCTTCCCCTCACACTAGGCTGCTGTGTTGGATGAAAATTACAGGCCTCTCTCATCTTTTTAAGTGGGAGAACTTGCACAATTGGTGGCTGACTAAATACTTTTTTGCCCCACTGTACATCAATGGAAAGCTTATTTATTCAGCTTAGCTTTCAGATATGATTCAGAGATGATCTCAATTTGAAAAAATTGACCCTTGTGACTTTTGTGGTCCAGGGTCACAAATGTTTATGAATGTTAATCCATTATAACAGAATATCAAGCCAATAGCATTTATTTGAAAGAAATATAGCACAAACACAAATTATATGTATTTATAGATTATTTGGACACTTTTTGATTGTCAGACATGTTAATGTGATGAACTACACCTGTGGTCACTCTGCTATGCTGCACAGAAAAGCCTGTGAGAAACCTTGGACCATCTATAGAATAGTCAAGTGCACTTACTAGGCTGCTGAATCATTGAGCTGATACTCTCGTGATCTGATGAAACACGTCTGCCCTCCTTCGTCCTTCCACAGCCGACGGATGACCCCAGAGAGCTCAGGGGTCATGACTCCTTCCTCTGCAGTGCCGGCGAGCACAAAGAGCTGCCGAGCATCGTCCTGATGTTAAACAGAACATCTAAAAAAACTGGTCTCCATTTATGCTACTATGATTCAAGACAAGCTGTCAGTCAATTTCAGTTGCAGAGTTTGTTATCCATGAATCGTCAAGACTGATTCAAACTAATCTTTCTCATGAACTTGAGTCTTTTTGACTGATTCATTAAAATATACCTCATAAGTTCATGAATAAAGCTACGCTAGATGTTTATTTTGTGTGATAGCAATAAGGAATACATTGTTGATTTATTGCTTATTTATTGTATTTCTATTATTTTGTTGTACTCAATTCAGGTATAATATAATTTCTTTCAAAAAATGGCATTTTATCATAAACTGTTTTAGTTAAAGGGGTCATATGATGCGATTTCAATTTTCCTTTCTCTTTGGAGTGTTACAAGCTCTTGGTGCATAAATAAGATCTGTAAAGTTGCAAAGACTAAAGTCTCAAATCCAAAGAGATATTCTTTATAAAAGTTAAGAGTCAACCACGCCTACCTAAAACGGCTCATTCTAACATGCCCCCACATGTCTACATCACAATGTGGGAAGATTTGCATAGATTTCGCTGTAGTATTGTTGTTGCCGTGTGTTTCGTTGTGAAAGCGAAACTTTGTTTGGCCTTCCAAAAGAGGACGATATCAGCTTCGTCATGCCTAGAGCTGATCCGTACTGGTCGCTGAGGATATACATCAACTTCGCACTGTGGATCGCCGGATCGGCTTTCACCGTGGATGAAGTCCACGCCGGGGGTCGTCACATGTGGTTGCCGCATGCCCGCCGGCTGCTCCGTTCTCAAGCCCACCTGCCGTTCCTCACTCAAGCCAGCCGGCCTCCGCTCACTCAAGCCCACCGTGTGTTTCGTTGTGAAAGCGAAACTACTTTGTTTGGCCTTCCAAAAGAGGACTCAACCAGAAATCAATGGAAGAGGACACGACTAGAAATCAGTGGTTAAGTTTTATTTACAACACTGTTCCAGAACAGTTCAACCCAAATATTCAGATGTGTGCAGCACATTTTATGGAGGACTGTTTCCTGGGAGAGTAGACTACAATGCCGGCTGTTCTGACTCACAGACTGTAAGTAAGTTTTTATTATTTAAAGAATTTGCCACTGATGATTCAAATGTGAGTTTTGAGCAGTGTAGAGTAGCGCTTGTTGTTTGTCATTTTTCCGATCACAAATGCAGACATGGTTTTATGTTTACACGGCGCGATGCAATGCAACGCGTAAAAAGACAGTATAAATCATTATAATCCGTAATTATGTCCCCACTGGATGCAACAAATGCCTCGTTTATAAT